TTGGAGAAGCCGTTTCTTCCCCTTTTCACGTCGTCGTCGAAAGAGGGCGACGCTTTCTATCTCATAAGCCAGAGGTCTTCTCGAAACCCTGCTTTTTTTGTTTTTGATTTTTAGTGGAATGGTTATGTTTCTTGATGCATGTGTCCTCATTAGGGTTTTTATTGGAGAAAGATCTATTTTTGAGAAGAAAAATTCAGAGCATCAAGCTTTGGTGCATTAACTAACCAACCCTAAATCATTTTGAAAAAGATGCTCAAAATGTATTTATTTTAGGGGGAAAGGTAAAATTGAGTCATTTCATACACAGCTTATGTAGCTTTCTGACAACGGACTCAAAATGCAGAGGACATGGAAGATTTATTCTTTGTGGAATTTTGCAAACATGCAGTTATGTGCAGAATCTACTACAAATTGCCGAAATTATTGAAAATAAAAAAAATTTGTGGTTTATTTGCTAATCAGACTATGTTGGACTATTTCTTTATCGCATGTGCAAAAAATTGTTAAGGTAAACATGGTTGATTTTGTTGTGAAATTGTGATGATATATTGATTTGTGAAATTGAGAATTGCGATGATTATTCATTTTTTTTATTTTGAATGTTATAAATATATAAATTATTTAAATAATAATAAATTATTTAACCTACGTTAAGAGTTAGGCTATTTTGCGTTTTGGTTATCCGGAGATAAGTGTTACTCTATGCGTTATCGCTATTTTCAACATTGGTTTGGACAAAAAGTTTGTATGAAAGTATCCAATTTTGGAAAAAGTAGGGGTAATTGTCTTAATTTTATTGTCCCAATGAATAATACCTTAAAGTGAAATCTCAATCTCATTGTCCCAATGAATAACATCATAAAATAAAGTCTCAAAAACTACCCCACTTACCCCAACATTACACCAACCAATAACCCCCCTCAAGAACAAACATACCCATTACTTATGATTTCTCTCTTAAAATACATCTTGTTAGAAAGATTATTTACACTTCGGTACTTCAAAGTTTTACATCTTTTTAACTTTAGTACCCTAAAGTTTTTCTAACACTTTGCAAGATTTTTTTTTCTAGCACTTTTGTTATGATGAAGTTTACAATCTTTTCTTTTACTTGGACACCTAAATGTTTTCTTCTAACACTTCTGTTATGATGAAGTTTATACATTTTTAAGTTTGATATCCCTTAAAGTTTTGTTTTTGATATTTTAATCCCCAAACTTTAGGGTGTCAAAGTAAAAAAAAAGTATAAACTTAAGGTATCAGAGTAAAAAATGTAGAATCTTTGGGGATGAAACTTGAAAGTAGAAATTTTGTAAAACTTAGGGTCATCAAAGTGTCAAAAAAAAAAAAAAAAAAAAAAAAAAAAAAAAAAAAAAAAAAAAAAAAAAAAAAAAAAAAAAAAAAAAAAAAAAAAAACGTTGGGGGTATCTATGTTGAAAAATGTGTAGACTTTAGAAGGCCAAATTGTACATAATCCTTAAATAAATAATATATGAGGGTTTTTCGATCACTGAAGGACCAAATTGCAAGACCCTTGGGATTTGAGGGACTAACGAGCACTCTCATAGATTTGAGGGACTAGCATGGAATTATTAAAGACTTGAGAGACCAATATCTATATAATCTAAAGAAAATTGGGATTTCGATAATGGTCCCCTAATCTTCAATATCTTGTAGTTATTCCCTCAAATCGTTGAAATTGCTATTAGGGATCTGTTTGGAAGGATTGACATATCTTAGGGGCCTATTAGCAATTTCAATGATTTGAGGAACTAATTTAAAATATTGAAGTTAAGGGAACAAAATTTCCTCACCCGCTCCCACGTCTCCTGTCATTTATCGTCTCTCTTCAAACACAAACACAAACCCTAAAGACCCTAAACCCCAACTTAAAACCAAAAGAATCCAAACCCTAAATCCAATTAAATTCCAAAACCCACCATCTTCTTCTCTCTTCAGCTTGACGCCCTCTCTACCTTTGATACAACAAACTCTAACAAAAAGCCCAATAACAATCGAAAAATCCTCTCTCTGAACTCAAGGTCAGCTCATTTCCTCTCTTTGATTTGACAAAATTCTATTTTTGAATATTGTTATCTTTATATTTCAAAGGTATAATGTTTTATCTAAGCAAGATTGAGCATACAATTCCTCTGCCTCCGCATTTGCTGAGCCGTCCTCTTGTTGATGCGATCAAGGAGCAGCTTGAGAAGTTATTTTTGGACAAGGTTTATTGCTGAGATTTTTTTTAATAAAGAATTTCATTATTTATATGTTGCATGTGTTTATATAAGTTTTGTTTTTTATTTAAAAATAGGTTATCGCTAATTTAGGCCTATGTATCTCTATTTATGATATTCAATCCATTGAAGGTGGCTTCGTATATCCCGGGCATGGCTGTCCTACATATAAGGTACTCGTTATTTTATGGAATTATGAAAATTAGATTCTTAATAAATGAAAGTTTTTATCTCATGTTCATAGATGTAATTCCTTCCTCTTCCCCCCATCTATCATGCGTGGTTTGAACAGGAAGGTCATGATCATTGCTTGGGTTTAAAGTTTAATTTAACTAGTGGCTTTTTCATTGCGCTCAAAGATGTCTAATTGGGCCATACATCTTGTGTCGTTTCCCATGTTTCCTTATCATTTGGGCTAAATTACCGGATTGGTATTTTAGTAGGACCATATTTCTAATATGGTATTGTTTTTCTTTCACTTGTGAGATTATTTTATAAGTATCGATAATTGACGTGAATGTGGTGTTATTTTACATAGAAGAAATAAGGTAATTTTTTTATATAGAATAGATGACCAAATTGATATTAACACTGTTGGTGAAAGAAGAAAGTCCCATATTGCAAACAAGGTTCTATTAAAAATGCCAACTTGGTGATTTATCATTTGTCTATAAATTTGAATAAATAAAAACTAACAAGGAAAAGAACATCATCATAGATTAGATAAATGGATGGAGAAATGTATACCATTAATGATATCATGTTAGGCTGTTATATTTGTTATTTATAAATGAAATGGGTTTGTGGCAAATGTTACACAGAAAGGTAAAGAACAGGATATAAACTTGAGAGAATTTATCCATGTTCAAAAATGGGGATTTTTGGTTCATTTAGCGGATGTAAGGTTTTAGGAATGTTCACTTCTCAATTGGAATGTAAAGAAAATTAGGGATGATGGTGGGCTTTATCCATTTCTGAAACCCGTGAAATGTTATGGAACCTGACAAATGCTTAGTTGGGTTTTGAACCCATTTTTTCAATTTAGCTTATCACAAAATCCTAAATGTAAGATAATAGTTGTATCTTAAGGTAAATTGACTAACATATTTGCCCATAGGATTCATTTTATAGAGGCAACTTTAAGAATGCAATTATGCATGTTGATTTCCTTGTACATTGTGTTGAAGTATAAGATGCATACCCCTATTGCAAAATATTGACAACAATATCAAGTTTATAGTGAAATCATTAAAACTATAACTATATAAATGTTAAAAGATTAAGCTTTGATACAATGTTTAGGGATTCTTCAACTATTTAGTAGGTCCAGGGTTTGACTTTTGGAAAATCTCCAATAATTGGGATAGGATTACAGACTACAGATCTCCTTAGACACACAATAACAAGAGTCTCATGCATTAGGCTACCCTCTTTATCTCTTATCGAGTCTCAGTATCCATGACCCTACGACATACTCATTTTCTTAATTTTTAAGATTTGTGGTCTGTGCATGTGCGTTTGTGTGTGGGCACACGCTAGAGGTAGCCATCGGACTGGGTGAGCCCGAAAGCTCACCCATCTTGGCCTGCTAGGGTCAGGGTAAAGCCAACCTGGTTTGAGCAGGCCGGGCTTGATCGGGAACCCGGAGAAATTCTGGGTAGGGCGGGTAGAGGGTCCAAAACCTTGGCCCGAGCCCTGCCCTAGCCCGACCTGTGTTTTAACATGCCATAAGTTTTTTTTAAAAGTTAGCCCACAAGTTTCTTAAATTATTAGCTCACATGTTTTTTAAAAAAAGTTTTGGCCTATATTTTATAAGCCTGCCCATGCCCAAAAAAGATTCAAAATTGGCCTAAAAAATTAAACATAAAGTGGGCCAGTGGGCTAACTTAAAAAAAAGAGGCCCAAAATAGAAAAAAAACAGACACATGCTATATTCTTATTTCTCATCCTATGATATTATTCAACTTCAATTCTAATTTCTCATTCTTATACTAATATTCTTCACCTTGTCTTTCTCTATTATTCCTTCAAGTCTCTTAAGCTACTAAATTCTAATATTCTCATTTTAATGGATCCTAGCCTTTCTAACTTCACGATGAAAGGTGATGGTGCTAATAGAGTTGCTGTATGTAGCAAATGTGGGATATGATTACAAGCTCCAACAAGTGGTCGCACAGGAAGTTTACGTAGACAGTTCATGTGGATAGGAAAAGAGTTAAAAGGCCACAATTCACTTTGAGATATTTATTTTATGTAATGAAAAGAGTTCCAGAAAAGTGTTATTGAAAATGGAAGGTCAAAGAAAAAGGAGAAGCAGATACAGAATTATCTCTACTCTTAAGTTGAAGAAAATCATGGAATCATTTTGTATTTTTTATTTTCTTAATCTAGCATAGTTTGATTAGTTTCATTTTAGTGTGCAGCATGCAACACAAATTGTTAATGAAATTTATTTTATTTTGTCAATATTTTTGGTATATTATATGTAAAAATTTATTTGTTTAAAGAAAAATAAAATAAAATAACTGGTTTTGGCCCTGCCCGGCCCATAGCCTGGCGTGTCGGGCCAGCGGCTTGGTTTGGGCAGCTCCCAAAACCAAACCCCTGGGCTCAAGTCTGGATTAACAAGGCCCAGCCCGTCCAAGCCTGATCCCGGTGGGTTTGGACCGGGTTTAGCCCGAACACGGCTCTTGCCTGGGTCTATAGTGCGTGTGTGGCCGCGTTCCCTTGTGCTCGTGTGTAGGTCGTGTGATTTTCATGGATGCCTGTGCTCAAGTGATTTAGAGTAGAAAATACCTTAAACATATTCTGAAACATACTTACGCATATGCTAACTGTTGAATTTTTTTAACATTTATTTATTTTATCATTAACTTATTAATAATTTTCTTGTTCTTAGGTTATATTTAGATCAGTAATGTTCAGACCATTTGTTGGGGAGATTCTTACAGGAAAGATTGAGGAATCTGGCGTTAATGGTTTGCGTTGTAAGTTAAGGCATTTTTTCTTTAATGATAAAACATTTACGATGTATTTGCCTCACTGCCTTCATCTATGTCAGAAAATAATGGCATATTAGAATAATAGCATATTATAATGGTGACCTGCCTTTTCTCATTAAGCAGTTGATGGTTTGTCTAAATCGTAGTTTGGTCAGTTGTATGTTGATTGTCTTCTGGAGTACAGATATATAGCAAACTAATTTGACTAACCAAAGACACCAGTATTGCCACCTTAATCTTTCAAACTGCTTGAGCTCAGCATCAAAATGTCCTTCTCTTTGATGGAATCCTCAATGTTCTTGGATTCTAATCCTTTGCTGCGTACCTTACCGGGTTTGGAGTTATCTGCATCTATTTTGACCGTTCAGATTTTCAACAAGGCTCATACCATTTTCCTGCTTTCCCTTATCGAGATTCTGAATTGTTGATTCCTTCACGAGTTTGATGGGGATGTTAATTATAGTGCTTTTCTTTCTTCTAAAATTTCTCATAAACAGAGGGCTCTGATCTATAATTCTATAACACCATTACATCCTTTCACTATATAACAATAATTGTATTAGTTTGCATACCAGTTGTACATGTCTATTATTCCCATATATACCTTGTTACCAATGTCTGCTACATGTGTTCATAATATGAATTTGAGGTGGATATTAAACATAGTGCTGTTCTTTTTTTATTATTATAAATTTTCTCATATACAGAGGCTTCTGGTGTATGATTCTGCATACTATTACTTCCTTTCACTATATAGACAGTAGCTGTATTAGCTTGTGTACTAGTTTTACATGTTTATTATTCCCGGAGACACCTTTTAACCATTGATATCTGTTTCATGTGTTTATATTATAAATTGGATGCTGACTTGTGTGCCAGTGTCTCTTGGATTCTTCAATGACATATATGTTCATGTGCACCTGTTGCAGCATCCGTGCCAGCTGTAAGGATCTTTTATTCTTTATCAGTTAACCCTATCTTTTCGTTCTGCTATACACACACACACACATACATACATACATATATACACATACATACATACATATACGTATGTGTGTGTGGGTCCATAAATATATATATATGTGTGCACGCGCGTGCGCGCGTGCGTGTACATACATGTATGTGTGTGTGTGTCCCTATGAATATTTTTTAAAATCATGCACACATCATATCCATAAAGTGTTTTCTATGGGAATCATTTGTATATAGGGGACATACAGAGATATTTAACAAATATTGGGGAGTCAGCGCATAATATGATTTGGTATCTTTTGCAAATTTTTTTGCAAAAGAATTTGGTCTCATATGAGCCATAATTCTTCCTTCTAGTTATTTACATAAGTAGAAATTGTGGACCTCAATTGAACCATAAATCAAAGGCCAAATCGTGATATATTGTCACCAATCTATTGGGAAAATCGTAATATGTTGTCCAAAAATTGCCAAAATCAGCAAAGGACATCCGACAATATATCGGCCGTGTCGGGGATATTTAACACATCACATACATATACAAACTTCATCAAATACGTACTGGTGTTTTATTTCAATTCAATTTTCGTAATGCATTTTTTGCTGGGTATCAACCTGGGTGGGTGGCTTGACTACCACCTTGAGATCTCTCTACTGTACAAAGGTGAAGTTTAAGAAGCTCTCTGAAGCTCACTTTGATGCTCCTTAAATTGCAGGCCTTTGGGCACTTTGCTTACCCTGTTCTATAGAAAAGCTTACATTTGGTACACTTTGTTTAACCCACTTTTTCCTCATCTTTTAGAATAATTAAGAAGGATCTTTACTGATTGTTGCCAAAGTCTAAGCCAACTCCTGGTAACTCTTTTGGTAATTAAATTTCATTAATTATGGTTTATATTTATGTTGTTCATATTGAAGTTTATGTTATTTCCTATTCCTCCAATCATCATAAACAACTCACAACACTAATTCTATTGTTGGGATCCATATTTTCATTTGCTTTATCAAGGGCATTGTATATATAAAGTTTTCAGTTTCTGTATATATCTTTTATATGTTAGTAAATGTGGTCTATTGAACTTAGTGGAAGTTAGGGACTGAGAAGGGTATGATAGTAATTAAATTAATGAAGAGATAGGCATACCAGAACTGCATGGAAGGATAGAATTCATGTAGGTGACCCCAATTTTTGGGATAAAGGACTCGTTGTTGCTGTAGACTGTAGTAAATAGGGCCAATACTGACACTGGAGAGAGGTTGATGATGTGGCAGCCTCCGGTAGCCTCCTATTCCCCTTAATATGTTATTATGTAGAATGAAAATTCTTGAAGCTCACCTTTTGAAGCTTATGTTTCGCTTTGATTAAGTATCAAGAGTTCTTGCTTCATGCTTTCTCCCTTTTAAATATTGCTCCAAAGATATGGTGAGGGTTTCTGACTTCTGAGTTATATTTTTATATTCTAATTGTTAGTTTGCTGTTGATAACAGGGGACCAGATGACATATGGACATGGACGTACGACTCCTCAGAACTTCCATTGGATCTTGATGAGAAGGTTTTCATAGTTATTTCTGATTTTCCTGTATGGAGAGTAATAGACAACCAAACTTATCTTTGTAATTTGTTTTTCTTGCAGATAAGGTTTCGAGTAAAAAGTATTAAATACCCGCCTCTCCCGATTGAACAGGATGCTGATGCAAAGCCTTTCGCTCCGATGGAGATTACTGTATGTTGCTAGAACTCAAATATGCGTTATATGAATGATTTGTGTAATGGGGCTATAATCTGCGGTCATTTTTATTATTAGTGTGCTATTCTTCATGGATTCAAGGGGATGTAATAGATTGTTTTTACTTAAATTGCTTTGTTCTTGTTTGGCAGGCGGAAATCTGTGCAGATGGATTAGGCCTGGTTTCTTGGTGGGAAGAATAGTTGAACATAATTGAGCTAGCGGAAATCTGTGCAGATGGATTAGGCCTGGTTTCTTGGTGGGAAGAATAGTTGAACATAATTGAGCTAATTGAACAAACAAGTGAAGATAAAAAGAGAGTTATGTATTCATGTAACTGGATCATGTGCATTTTACTTGTATGTTTGTCAAATTTATAAGTCTAAAAGACTCCGTTTCTTGCTACTTTCTGTTACTAGGTGTGAATTATATGTGTTTTTATTTGTACTTTCCTATAAAACTTGAACTTTTGGCTTTAAACAAGGAACACGTTAGCAACTTTGGGGGTGTTTGTTTCAAATCCTAAAATTTATGGATATGGATTTCACCATAGAATTTAAAATCCATAAATTTTTTTACATGTTTTGGGATCTCTAAAATTTTGTTTGTTTCATCAATATTTTAGGATTTGGAATACTATAAATTATATATTATAATATTATATAATATTTTAATAACATATATTATTATAATATTATATAATATTTTAGGATTTGGAATACTACAGCATGAACAGTGATTATTGGGTCCTCCTATATATATTATATATTATATATATATATATATATATTATATATATATTATATTATAGATATAATAACATATATTATTATAATATTATATAATATTTTAGGATTTGGAATACTACAGCATGAACAGTGATTATTGGGTCCTCCTATATATATTATATATTATATATATAATATTATATATATATATATTATATTATAGATATAATTTATATAATATATAATATAATATATATAATATATTATATATATTATATTATATATTATATAAATTATATCTATAATATATAATATATATATATATAATATTATATATATAATATATAATATATATAGGAGGACCCAATAATCACTGTTCATGCTGTAGTATTCCAAATCCCAAAATATTATATAATATTATAATAATATATGTTATTAAAATATTATATAATATTATAATATATAATTTATAGTATTCTAAATTCTAAAATATTGATGAAACAAACAAAATATTACAAATTTTGGTATTCCAAATCCCAAAATATTGATGAAACAAACAAAATATTATAAATTTTGGTATTCCAAATCCCAAAATATTGATGAAACAAACAAAAT